GCAAAGGTGGCAGAAGAAGCCTCTGTGTTTCCTATTAAAGCCAGTCCCTAAAACCTCCACTTTCGCTCGTCTGTTTTGCACATCTCATTTCTGTAAACTTAAAGAGCAAATCACAGAAACAGAGTCACAGACAGCCTGAGGGATATCACTCAAATTTTAAGCTTCTTCTTCTCCCTCCCTCTCTCAGTTTTTCGTTTCTCTGAGCTTCTTCAGGAGCTGCAACTCAGAGTTTGAGCCAAATATCACCAAGCTTCACACTCAAGAAGTCAGAGTCGCTGGAGGACCGTATCGCCCATCAGAATCGTGAGATCTAGTCTCATCTCGTCGACAATCAACGGCTGGCAGCAGCCCATGTCGTTCTCAAGCAGGATCTCGTCGCGGCTCAGCACGACCTCCGCCGCTCATCCGTCATCGCCGGTAAAATCCGTCGTCACAGGGACGACCTCCGCCATCCATCTTCGTCCTCCACCACCTCACCACCCTCTACGACTTCACCACCTGCCGTTAAGTCATCCACCACGGGGCCCACGCAAGCACTTGAACCTCATGCAACAACTGCAACTCACGGTCGTCGTCCGTTCTTACGGAAGAGACTCGTTGAAGTGGAAGCGTCCGTTGCTGCAGGATCGCCCATAAGAGTTGCTGCCATTTATGGATCTCTTCTGGATTTCAATTCACAAACATGATGCAATTATGGGTTGACTAATTTATGTGTTGCTCTCTTCTTAATCTAGTCCGCCGACCGGATGCTGCTGTGTTTAGGTTGCTTCTGGATCAATTTTAAGAAGATTAAGCCAAAACTTAAAGAGGTTCCATTGAAATCAGATGATTTGGAAGATCCAGGATGTAATTATCCGAAAGTTCTTGTTCAAATTCCTATGTGCAATGAAAGAGAGAGTACTATCTAGGTTCTGTCTGAATTTTGGAAAGAAAAAGATGGAACCAGATCATGGGAAGCTCTTTATCGGTGGGATTTCCTGGGACACAGATGAGGAACGGCTCAAGGAATATTTCGGGAAGTATGGAGAGGTGGTAGAGGCTGTGATCATGAGGTATCGTGCAACCGGTCGTGCTCGTGGATTCAGGTTTGTTGTCTTTGCTGATCCTGTGGTTGCAGAAAGAGTTGTCATGGATAAGCACATGATCGATTGTCGCACAGTCATTGTCAAAAGCTGCACAAAAAACCTGTAGGGCCTATCAAGCACCACCCCACACGGTGCCAGAGCAAGCAGTGAGGATACTCATCACCATCTCCTGCGAATACCACGGGAAAAGGAAAAGCTTTTGCAAAGCAAAAGCGGAGATAAGATTATTTTCTTATTATCAATCCTTGTCTGCCATATTCATCAGGATCAAGAAACAGAAAGAAAATCAGAAAGGAAAAGGAAAAGCAGAAAAGAAAAAGAGAAAAGAAGAAAAGCAAAAGATCTTCCTATTATTATGATTCCTTATGTCTGCCAGATGAAAAGACAGAGAGAGTGCAGCAAAAAAAACACAAGCAAAAGCAAGGAATAAACACCCACACTGCAAAAACAAGGAATAAACACCCCACCAGAATGATGTAATTTATTTTCCTTATCTTTCAAATACATCGGTATAAACCCCATCAGAGGGTAATATGTATAAACCCCATCAGAGGGTAATAACAGTAAAAAAAAAAAAAAAAAAAAAAAAAAAAAGGGCAAAGCCCAAAATAAATGGGCTGGCATGTTGTGGAGGGCGGAGGCCCATAAGCCTAAAATAGCTCCAACCAGGCGATCAAAGGCGATCAAAAGTACGCCCAGTACTCAACAATTATTCAACAACCTGCCACTATTATCACCAACCAGGTGACCAAAGGTACGCCCAGTACTTCACAATTATTCGGCAACACACCGCTATTACCACCAACCAGGTGATGAAATGTACAACTCATACTCTAATATCAGTTGGCAACTAGCCATTCATGCCACAAACCAAGTGATGAGATGTACAACCCGTACTCTAATTTGGCAACTAACCATTCATGCCACCAACCAGGTGATGAGATGTACAACCCGTACTCTAATTTGGCAACTAGTCATTCATGCAACCAACCAGGTGATGAAATGTACAACCTGTACTCCCCTTCATGCCACCAACCAGGTGATCAAAAGTACGCCTAGTACTCCAAATTATACATGAACATTACTCATGTCATACATACACATTCATGAGCATTACTCATGACAATCATACATAAACATTCATGACCATCATTCATGTCAACACTCATAAGCATCACTCCTATTAAAATTCATGAGCATCACTCATGACAACATCCATGAGCATCACTCATGTCAACATTCATGAGCATCACTCATGTCAATCAAACATTCATGAGCATCATTCATGTCAAATCAGCTTCAAAAGCTTCATTTACAAAGCTCTAGCTTCAAAAGCTTCATTTACAGAGCTCTAGCTTCAAAAGCTTCATTTACAAAAGCTCTAGCTTCGAAAGCTTCATTTACAGAGCTCCAGCTTCAAAGCTTCACTTGCAAAGCTTCACTTACAAAGCTTCAGTGCAAGGTATACAAATACCGCCTTAGAACAACCGCCACTTCGGCCCATACATGGATCCAATTTGAAGTCTCCAGCCAACAGACTCTATTGACCGAAGACTTGGGGGACTACATTATGTACCATATATTGGGCCTCAAATGGGCCTCATGAAAAATACTTGGGGGACTTAGCCCATTACTTATGTATTGAGGAGCGAGCCTTTATTCTATAAAAGGGACTCCCTCACTTTCACTAGAGAGCACCCATTGTTCATGTACTGAGGAGCGAGCCCTTATTTTATAAAAGGGACTCCATCACCACCATTAGAGAGCATCGTTGCCTACTGAGCAACCGCCTCGCCACGAGCATCAACTCTAGCCCATCATTTATGTATTGAGGAATGAGCCCTTATTCTATAAAAGGGACTCCCCCACCATCATTAGAGAGCAACGCCGCTAGCTGAGCCACCACTTCACACCGAGCATCATTCCTAACCCATCACTTATGTATTGAGGAGCGAGCCCTTATTTTATAAAAGGGACTCCCTCACCATCATTAGAGAGCATCGCCGCCTACTGAGCAACCGCCTCGCCGCGAGCATCAACTCTAGCCCATCATTTATGTATTGAGGAACGAGCCCTTATTCTATAAAAGGGACTCCCTCACCATCATTAAAGAGCATCAACTCTAGCCCATTATTCATGTATTGAGGAGCGAGCCCTTATTCTATAAAAGGGACTCCCTCACCTTCAAATGCCGCAAGCCGAGCCAACCAAGGCAACATAAGCCACGAGCTGAGCAGTCTCGCAGCGTGTGCTACTTCTAGTTGAGCGTCATTTCAGATTGAGCACTGCCTCATATCGAGCATCAGTTCAAGACAACATCTAGTTACTTCGGCCCACACATGGACTGAATTTCAAGTCTCCAGCCAAAAGACTCTCTTGACTGAAGACTTGGGGGACTACTGTTTATACCATATTTAGGGCCTTGTATTTAGACCTCGTATAAATACTCGGGGGACTTAAATGTAATTATGTAATAAATGAAGGGGCAAATACGTAATTAGGGGAGGAGCCCTTATTCTATAAAAGGGCCTCCTCACCCTTACAAACCTTAGGTGACTCCTAGCTAGAGCAAAGCTCTCACACTCTCTCCCTCACTTCTCAGAGAAATACAATACAATCAGTGTGGACGTAGCCTCAACATTGGGGTGAACCACGATACATCTTGTGTTATTTACATTTTATGCATATTCACGGTCGGATTTACGTTGTTCCAAGACCTCCGGTTTTGTGCATCAACAAAACATACAAGATAACTAGAAGTCCTTGATCTCAAGGCATAAAAAAGAACTTAATGTAGACTTAACCCATCTACAACAATCCTTTGATAAACAAGAAGTTAGAAATAACTTGGGATGCAAGTAATCGGCTTAAAACAAACTTGTTCTACATCTGTCATACATAGATGGTAGTGGCACGCCTAAGCTATTAGTTGGTTTTGATTGTGAGCCTCAAGGCCTACACCTAAGGCCCCATAAAGGCACCTTTCAGAACTAACTTTGTTCTCCTCTTGCAACATTGCGACAAGCAGGAGCCCGACAATCAACCAAAGTGCCAACTTCTGGGGAAGCTATGTGCTTGAGCCAGGAATGCCCACCAGCCAGATTTCCTGCTCGAACACTTTGTAAAATTATCTTGGAGTATATATGGAGTCACTAGATCTAGTAAAAAAAGCAAGGCTCTGCACAATCCCCTTTTGTTTGTCTTCCGCATCATTTGTTCAATCATGTGGTGCATAGAGATTATTAATTTATTATTTTGGTAAAGATGGTAGGGATGATATCTGTAACACTATTGTCCTACTTATAAAAGTGGGTGTTTGGTCACTTCCATGTGGGTCAGAAGTCTGCATCAACAAAGGGGCCATAAGAATGAACAATCAAGAACTTGTACCTGAGCACATGACATGAACTGTGTGGAAGAATACCAATTTATTTAATGATCCCACAAGCTCTAAATTGTTTAACTTACGGTAGTAGAAACATGATTATCTTTGGAAGAGAGTGACTTGTAAGAACCCTGCATTTTAGTATTAGCCCGTGTTTCGCATACGTGCTTTGACATGACAAGTCTGACTAAATTGGATGGGAGTTTTAGTAGTGTTTGGTGGGTCTAGATGCATTTCCTATTGGGATACGTATAGGCTCAGAAGTGCTTCACAGTAAATGTGACTTAAAATCAAATCGTACCCTTGCTAGCCACGTTAAATACTCAAAAGTGATCCGGTCCAGTAGTTCCATCTACGTTTTCTGGTCGAACGAAGTTAGTATGTTGACTTGTATATAAGGCATCTTTCCAGTTTTTACAAGTCCAATATACTTGCAATGCAGTACAAGTTAGCCTCTAGCCTCTGGCCTGGCCTCATGTACCCAATCAAAGCGTCATTTTCGCATGGCCCATGTAATCGATCAATCTCCTTTGGCACTAAACAAGTTGATGAAAGATGTGGTCTAAATTTTCACTAGTTACTTACCAGGTAAGCATGCAAACCAATTACGCAATCCCTCTTAAGGTCTGAAGTTTCCTACAATCATTAAGCACATTTGCACATCCATGTTCTAAGAAATAGGAAGTGCTTAATTAGCTGGCTAGAAAGACTCATATGGAGGAGCTGAGTGAAAATTGCTTCCATGAAGCCACCTACCTAGACCAAGAAGGTCAATTAAGAACTTCAAGAGTGCCCGTGGTTCAAGAACTCGCTCGGCGAGGATTTAAACATTTGCCTGAGAGATTCATAAGGGTGCACCCTGAACACGATTTTGACGTTGTCAACTTATCTTTGCTTAATAATGTCTCAGAAGTCCTACCATCCATAAGCATGGCTAAATTACGAGCCCGATCTGAGTCCACAGACTGGACCCGAGAGCTGGGCGAGCTAGCAAGTGGTGCTAATACTTGGGGTATGCTCATAATCAAGGACCATGGTGTGCCAGGGCATGTTTTAGATGGTGTGAAGGATGTGGTCAAGGAGTTCTTTGGGTTGTCATTTGAAGAGAAGAAAGCAAGCGTTGGGTCGTATGTGAGTGTGGATAACATGGGGTACGGCCGGAACTTTGTGAAGTCGGAAGATCAACTGTTGGATTGGATTGACCGTGTGACTGTGAAAGCAGCTTCTGTTGGAGCAACCCAAGGGCTCCATGTTTGGCCTCAAAGGCCTGCCGATTTCAGGTGCCGTATTTCACCAAAATTTGAGAATTTTTCTATTTTTAGTTTTAGAAAGTGAAAACAAAAGTTAAAAATGAAATAGTTATTAAACAGTTACTTGTAATAATGAATTTAGCTGAAGTGATTTAAGTATTTAGAATAAATTTAAAAAATTCCAAAATTGATAATGAATTTAGCCAAATGATTCAAGCATTTAGTGATTTAGAATAAATCAAATTCTTGATCAGCTCATGGAGTGCTGTAATTGTTAGAATAACTTAACAATATAAAGTGGAAAATATTGCAATGGGTGATAAAGGGCTTGTTTATATATGTGTGTGTGTGGACGCCTTGAAGCAACTTATCTTTAATCCATCGCCCTAACCATTAGCCACAAAAATTTTAAACACTACTCAACACTTTTGTTAAACAGGCATGCTATAGAGCAATACGTTCATGAAGCAAGAACCATCTTGAATGACTTATTGGAAGCCCTTGCCGAAGCCTTATCACTAGAAAAACATGTATTCCTCCAAAATTTTGACCCCAAAGACAGTGAGATCAATGTGAGAGTCAACTACTACCCACCATGTCCTAGACCAGACCATGCCCTCAGTCTAACTCCGCATTCGGATACCAGTGCCCTTACTCTTCTTATGCAATTTAACACCGCCAGAGGACTCCAGGTTTTGTAGGACAAGAAATGGGTGAATGTGTCTTGGCCACCAGAGGCATTGCTAGTGAATATGGGAGATTTGCTAGAGATTATGAGCAATGGAAAGTTAAAAAGCCCATGGCATAGGGTTGTGACCCAAATGCATGTTGAGCGCTTCTCAGTGGCTTTGTTCTATAGTCCATCTCCCCAAACTTTGATTGATCCTATAAGGGATTGTAATTCCTTGAAATATGAGGGGTATGAGAAGGTGGTTGTGGTTGATTATTTGCAACACTTTTATAGAGTTAGTCCTACTGCGGAGAAACAAGCCATCAACTTTTCCAAAAGACCCAAAACCTAATGAGGTGTGTGGGATTTAAAATGCTTTGTTAATGTTGTTATTTTTGTTAACCAATATGTTAGTTTGGAATGTGATCCTTGGTACCTAGCTCGGATTTGATTTGTTTTCATATGCGAATCTAACTAGCACAGGATTCATGCGTATTGCTTTTAATTATTATATGTGCTGCTTGGTTATTATTTGTGTGATTTATAGAGGCAACCATGCCAGAAGCAAATGCAAAAACAAAAAATCATGTGGGGTAGCAAAAATTCGTCTTCTTCAGTCTTGACAAATTTGTACCTACAAAAGACTCAACACTTTTTATCGAGACCAAGGTCACAAGTGCCCCCATGAGGTTTTTTTTTTTTTTTTTTTTTTTTTTTTTTTTGAGGGGGGGGCGCAATGGATCTCCGATACCTAAGTCAGTGTCTCTGAAATGAGTAAGTGCTTAGGTTTTGTATGCGTAGCATAAAACTTACCAAAATTTGGTGGAGATGAAGACATTTATAGGGAGGAGTGGCCGACCATAAGGTTAGGGTTATGCCATACACATAGAAACATCCATGATTGTGAGGAGATAATATTCCCAATATATTAATTAGGAGATAATATCTTGGGATGATGATAGAAACATCCATGATAGTGAAAGGGATTCCTTATTTGATGGAGTTGATCTTCAATTGGGAATGTATTAAAGATAGGATTCGGTGATTTTTTTTTTGTCAAGATAGGATTTGATGATTAATCCTAACTTTAATGTCTTTAACTTTTCCATGCCACAAGAATGGGAGGTGAGAGTAGTCGTAGTCAACTTCTTGAACCTCCAAGTATGTTGAGTTGTGCATGGGAATAATTGTGTCCTGCTGCCCATTTAATAAGGGCAGTCTTATATTCTTCGGAATAAAGTCCACGTGTCGTGTTTTGGATTTTTAGAATTATTTTTTGCTCCACAATATTCATTGCAGTGAAGATCAAGAAATTGGCTAGTTAGAAGATTGCGGAGGTGAAGTTTTAGATAGTAGCACAATTTTCTTGCTCTTGGTTGTCAAATGAGAAATTAACATATTTTTAAAGATTATTTGTTAAATCTTGGAAATTAATCTACAGAGAATATGTTAATTTCTTTATTTTACTTGTCATTCAAATTCAACCAAGACTAAGATTATTATGATACTTTCTAAAGCTCCGCCTCCTCAATGATCTAAACTTTTCTTTTTTGCTTTTGGTTTAGCCTGCTTTTGCATCTATACAACGAACTTCCTTTAGTATTTTTGCTTTGGCATTTTGCGTGGCAACCATTTCAACTAGATGCATTTAAATTCTAAAATCATGCAAATGACTTGAGGTTGCCTCTTAATATGTCATACTAATTGTGCATTCTAACAAGGCGACCCATAGCCCACATCAGATTCTATCTTTGCTCGGAATTGCTCAGGGTTGTCAACTACATTGCTAAAGATGAACTTGGTACAGAGGAAGAGAAAGAATTGGTAGAGAGAAAACAAGAGAGATTGTATTGATTGATTAGAGAAAATGTATACAACTGAACTTAAGAAAATGATAGCTATACAATCCCTTATATAGCTATATAACCCAATTATAATAATACCCTTCTAAGGGGTGGTTTGGGAGTGAGGTGCTTAAAAAAAAGCACCCATGAAAAAAAGCTGTGAGGATTTTAGGTGTTTGGTAAACTGAAAAAAAAGGGTTATTTTGAAAGCTGCTGTGAGAATAAGCTGAAATCAAAGGAAAAAGCTGAAACTGCCATTTTCAGCTTTGGAAAACTGGCTTTTTTTTCAAAGCACATGGAGCTACAGTGCTCCTTTAATAAAAAGACCCACTATCAGACTGCTTTTTTTTTTTTTTTTCCAAAAGCACTTTTACAAAAAAGTTTACCAAACACTCTGCTGATTTATTTCACAGCCGCTTATTCTCACAGCAGTTTTTTTTCAAAGCACAGCAATACCAAACCAGCCCTAACTATATTTCTGTTATATCAGTTATTACTCCCCCTTCAAACTAAACTTGGAGTATCCAAGTGAAGTTTGAAATAGCCAAGTATTTGACACTGATCTGGATAAATTCTAAAGCAACAAGAGAATGACACTCTTAACAAATTCTAAGGCACCAAGAGAATGACACTCTTGGCAACAAGAGAATGACACTCTTAACACTCTTGACAAGTTCTAAGGCACCAAGAGAATGACACTCTTGGCAACAAGAGAATGACACTCTTGACAAATTCTATGGAATCAAAGAAAGAATGATACTTTCTTAACCATCAAGAAAGATTGACACTTTCTTGAAATCTTGTAATCCAACAAAAAACACTAAATGAAACAGTAGTTTACTTCTGCTCCCGATTCAGCTACTCCAAACAAAAAAAAAAAAAAAACTTCCTTATCATCCATTTCATCCAAGCCTTCGATTCCCATGACCACAAGTATCTCCCAGTGCACTCTCAGCTGCTCGTTTTAGCTCTCCAATTGTTACATGCAATGGCATAACTACTACTTCACCAGGTGGCACCCTCTTGAATTCGATAAAGCACATCATTGTATACATCAACTCCTCAACTCCAGGAAATAGAGTTGCTGATTGCAAAGACTGAGTAACTATCTCTTTCCCAGGTTCTGAGACCTTAACGCCATCTGCAAGATCATGAACTGTATACTCCAAAACCCGAGTTGCTGGGTTCACTGCACTACACACAATGTGATTCCCAACGATCACATTATTCATTGATTTCAGCACATAATCCAAAAGGCCAGTATCTCCAGTATGTTAAGCAAGCTGCATCTCGCACATCTTGCAGGGTCAACCCTCCATGACCACTCTCTTTCTTTTCTTGCAATGTATTCACAATCACATCCACTTCAAACTCGAGTCTTCTTGTAGGTCATCTGCTATCCATGTCACCTTGTTGAATACCCAAAGAAAAACTCCAACTGATAACGCCATTTTACATACACCCATGTATCTTCAAGAAACCGATTATAAATTCCGAAATCACAAAAAATACAACAAAACCGCCAGAAAACCACACCAAGAATGTAGAGCAGATATCACCTGAGAAGATCTCATATCACAAGGCAGACACAACAAAGAATAAAGAAACTGACAACCTCCTAAATCTGCAAGAGCTTTCCACACTAGAGAAGGGAACACGGAGCAGTGGCAAATATATAACTCAAAGAGCTAATCTGCGAACACTACTAAGAAGAAAGAAATAGACCAAAAATCTTGAAATCACTCTTTGACATTTCGTCAAACAAATAATGTTCAAGAATGCACTTGCCAATTGAGCATGACATTTGAAGAATCGGGGATGTCGAATTTGAGGAGGACATAACTTCACATGAAAATTCTGAGCTGGGCAATATGTCAAACACTTGGACTGCAGTGAACAAGAAGCATATGATTTTGGGAAACAACAAGAAATCGAGAATCCGACCCCTACAACTCTAGCTCCGACTATATCCTTGCCTTCACCGACCAAAACCCACTTGTCTGGTACATCGTTCTTCAAATATCCCAATCCAGATTCGCAAACCCAACTCTCATCCGGACCCAGTTGAAATCGGCGAGGTCGGTGATGACATTTTCTAGGGTGGTGATCACGCATGGCGAGATGTAGTCTTTGAGTGTCAAGTGGGCCGGACTGACCAACGACAACAAACGCACGACGTCGCTCAAAAGTGTCTAAGGAACTTTATAGATCTTCTTGTATCCATGCATTCCAATGATCTGATTGAGATGACTGAGGGTGAGATGGAGATGGGAGTTGGACTGAATGAGGAGAAGGTAATCGTCTAGAAACATCTTGCTCTTGGAACCCGGCAAGAACAAAGCCCTTCAAGAAACAGAGCCGCCTGGAACACGCTGGTGGCACCAGGGATCTCCAAAAGAACGATCCTTCTCAGCGGATTCACATCCACAAAAAATTGAGTAAGAAATTGATTTTGCTTCCTTCTCCGATTCGGGAATAAGAGAAGAAGGAAACACCGAAGAACTTAGACGAAAAATTCAAGAAAATCTGAAGAGAAAATAAAACTAGAAAGAGAATTCTAATAAAAATAAATAAAAATTCGGAACCACCAGAATCAATGGCGTAAGCCTGGTGGCTCTGATACCATGTCAAGTACATTGCTAAAGATGAACTTGGTATAGAGGAAGAGAAGGAATTGGTAGAGAGAAAACAAGAAAGATTGTATTGATTGATTAGAGAAAATGTATACAACTGAACTTAAGAAAATGATAGCTATACAATCCCTTATATAGCTATATAACCCAATTATAATAATAGCCTTCTAACTATATTTCTGTTATATCAGTTATTAAGGGTGAGCTCCCATCAGTTACTAAGGTGGTCCTCTGTTTCGAGGCGAGCCTTGTATACAAAATTTCCAAGCTTTGGTGGATATGATCTGAGCTCGTATGTTATGGCAAGGACACCTTCTTTCTATGGCTGGTCGTATTACTGTACTCAAATCGGTGGTGGTAAGCATGTTATCTCATAGCTTTTCAGTTTATGCTTGGCATTCTTCTGTCCTGACTTAAGTTCGGAATTGGGCTCGTAATTCTATTTGGTCAAGTTGGGTGCTGATACAAGTGATTTTTTCACTATTGCTTGAAAAAAGTGTTGTGCGTATAATGAGGGTGGTTTAGGTATTCGAAACTTTGTAGCTCTTAATCTAGCTTTTCAAATGAATTTTTTATGGGACACTAGTGAATTCTAATATGGCTTATTGTATTTTTTTCGGAGGAGATTTTTCAATAATTTGGGTCATCCTTGTTCGTCTCGTCTTACAAGTGTTCTTCGGTATGGCCTAGGCTATGTCCCTTATATTCGGCTATCCCTGATGGGTCAAAATGGATTATTGGTTTGGGTGGTCAGGTGAAATTTTGGCATTCAAAGTGGTTGGATGTGCTGATTTCCGATCAATTGGGACTTCTTCTGCCTATTTCTAATCGTTTGCATGCTTTGGTCTCAGATTTTATTTTGGATGGCAGCACTGATGGGAATCTTTCAGTTAAGCTTGCTTATGATTTTTAGCGTAGTCGTCAACCTCATGTTCTTTAGGATCGATGGGTTTGGCATCCTTGCTTTCGCTCACGTAATTGAGTAATTTTATGGAAATGTTTGCTTGGTAAACTTTTGACTGGTGGTATGCTTCAAGGTACAGAGGTTTTATGTTGGCTTCTATGTGTTCCTTTTATGGTTCTATTGGTTGATCATCTCTTTCTTTAGTGTGCTTTTGCACGACAATTTTGGTCGGCTTGTTTAATGATATGATTTTTACCGTCTACACAAATAGGGTTAAAATCACATAAAATACTTGCAAGAATACAAGGATATTGTAGTATAGATGCTCATGCAAGGTCGTTCTTCTCAATGACTATTTTATTAATTTATGTAGAAACAATTCCTAATTAAATACTTGGAATTAAAATTTGAGAAAGGAGATTTTGAAATTGGGTAATATTAAAAACGAATTTTAATTAAAAACTAATATGATAAAGGAAAAAAATCTTAAATACCAATTTAGAAAGGCACTAGGGTTCCACTATCACCTAGCAATCCTATGAATTTTTACCAATTACTTATGATCTACACATGTCACTTTGAATGTTAGGTTTTCCTAATATATATTTTCCTCGTGATGTTCAAGCAAAAATGTATATCTAACATGCAATTCGTCTGTGATGTTCAGATCAAATATAAACATGCAAGACTCATTAAGTTCTGTGAAAACCCTTTGAAAAACCATGCAACCCTTAAGAGCATGATATTCGCCTTAAGTGAAATTACAATCATTAATCACAAGAAACCCTCTTCAATTTCAGGGTGATGTTCCAATAGAAATTGCATCAAATTACTTGTCTAAATATCTTAATGGTGATCAATCATTAAAATATATAGATAGTTTTAAAATAATGATTAATAATTCAAAGCATCCATGCAATCAATCATAAGCAATTAAATAAAAATTACATATTCATGCTAAGGCTCAAGGCTTTGCCCTAGCAAAACGAATTAGTTACGCATATTTATAATTGAAATAATAGAAAATAGTATTAGAATGAATAAGAATGAAAACACCTTGAAGTAGAAAATCTAAAAGCCTTCAAAACTCTAGGAATTCTTCTGTCTCCAAAGTTGCATAAAAGAAAGCATAACCTAAAATTGAGAATGGCAAAGCAATATATCTTGCTATGCCCTCGCACAATCCCTAAAACCCAGTCTTTTTTTTTTTTTTTTTAACTAGGAAACTAAATAATAGTAAAATATCTTAGAAAATAAAGTCCTAATTTAGTTAGGAGAATCTGCCAAGTAACTGTCCAGCCACGTTTTAGCCTCAAATATCCTTCAAATCCTGCCCATGATAGCTTTTTTTGAAAGATCAAGACGTTCCAAACACATCTCCAGAAGGCCACAAACCCATCGGAGGTCATCTTGGACTCCAAAAACGTAATTCAAGCCCAAAACGTCACTATTCCAGTACCGCGCATCCCTCCTTTATTTTATTGCCAAAAAATCACCGCTTGGTGGAAAAATTTTAAATTTTGACACGATCA